TGGATGTCCGGCTTCTGCTTGTCCGTCTGAAGACGGTGGATGTCCGGCTTCTGCTTGTCCGTCTGAAGACGGTGGATGTCCGGCTTCTGCTTGTCTGTCTGAAGACGGTGGATGTTCTAAGTTATCTGTTTCCGTGGTAGTAGCCTGAGATTTCCTGAGGCCTATTTCAGTTACTGTGGGAAGGTGACTATCTGATTTACAAGTTTTAGACTCGGGGTATTTACAGATTTCGCTGTATTTCAGTTCAGAGCATATAGAATGTCCTTTCCTGCCAGGTGTCATTCTCACAACTGTACTTTCTTTATGGGAAGAAGGAGGTTTTAAAGGTGTGGCTGGTCGCCCTACTGAACTGATGATTGCTTTTCCCATAGGCTCTGCCTTAAATGTCTTAGTTGTTGTAGGAGAATAGTGTGTACATACAAACGTTTCACTGCACATGCTACAGACACTAGAACTATCTGAAGAGAGAACTGAGTGATCAGCTACATGGTATATGTTGTTTTGCAACCTTTCTTCATATTTTGTGATTGCGGGGTATAATATACCGGTCACTGCAGCCACAACCCAACTCGTGACATTTTGAATGATACTGTGCAGTTCTTCAGAAGTTACCTGGAAAGGAGACGAGCAGGGGTACAAGGAAAACCTGGTATGAATTTACTCTATTTGGGGGACAGAGGCTAACCTTTAATTCCTTAAATAAACAATGCATAGCTATGATACCGTCATGGGGTATAGAGGGAATATAGGAAAAGGATCTCTTTAGAATGTCAGATTAATTTCAGATTGCTTTATTCTGTAAGGCTATGATCTGTTTTTAAAATAAGATTCCCTTTGATTCAAAATCCCCATAAAGTTTTATTTTTAGCATTTACTGTTGGGGATAAATGAGTTTTTGGTAAAAAATAGCCAAGTTGGTGTCTAGCTTTATAGCAAATACATTAGTTTAGGCAGAAAAAAAAGGACCAAGATGGAACTGGGACTCAAAGCCAGGCTGAGCTGGGGAGGGAAGTTGGGATCTCCCTCAGTTTGAGCAGAAGTAGAAACCCAGGAACCAGACTTGAGTGACTGTTTTCTCAGTGGTTCACAGGGCTCACTATCACAAATTTAGACTGGACCAGGGGTGGACTCCACATGTATCTGCAAAACCATCTGGTTAGGTACCTCTACTTATCGCAGATAGATTTTAGGAACATAAAAATTTTCTTACCTATAATAAAAATGGGAGCTCTGGTAGCATAGTGGCTAAGACACTTGCCTGCTAACCAGACGGCTGGCGGTTCAAACCCACCAGCCACTCCTCGGAAGGAAGGTTGGGCAATCCTACTTCTGTAGTGATACTGCCTCGGAAACCCAAGGAGGGGTCGCTATGAATCGGGTTTGACTCGACGGCACATAACAACAACAACAACATAATAAAAATAGTATCTGTTTTTAAATTGCTACCTTCAAGACAGCCAGGCTAAGAGGGTAAGCTGCCCGCAGGAATCTGACTTCCTAATGCTGCAGATGTAAGTCAGGGGCAGCAAAGGCTGGACACCTGGTATCTGGGCACCAGCAGAAATGATAGGATCTTTATACTGTGGTTGTCGACACCCCCCCAGTTATATCCAAAGTTAGTCCCTTGATTGCTCACGTTTTGGGTCAACATTCAAAGAAAACACCTTGCTGCATGCAGCATACTCTCTCCTAACCCATAAGAGAAGTTTTGAGGGTCACCCCAGGGAAGAGTAATTTTATTTCACTCTAGTTCCTAAATTTTTAATGCATTTTCACCTACTACACAGACCAGAAAATGGTGACTGAGTTTGAAAAACATACTTTGAATGACAGCATTTCATTGTAAAACACTTGTCTTACATACTTGTCTTAAATCAAATACTTCTAATACTCACTGCCATCGAGTTGGATCTGACTCATAGCGACCCCTCCTTGGGTTTCCAAGGCAGTATCACTACTTCCATGAAGTAGATTCCCCAACCGTCCTTCTGAGGAGTGGCTGGGGGGTTTGAACCACCAACCTTCTGGTTAGCAGTCCAATGCCTTAGGCACTACACCACCAGAGCCCCAAACAGTTCTAATAGTAAAATCAAAATACTAATAGATAAGGTACCTTCTTGTTCTAAATCCATGCCAATAATATGAGTTAAGAATTTCACTATATATTATTTTCACATCTCCAGAGATAACATATAGCAGACCTACATTATTACTCTTTGACTAGCTGAGAAGAAACATTCTTAACCTTGATATATGAAATAGGGGCATTCCCAAAGTTTTTAATGAAGTAAAATGTGATAAATATAATCCCATTTTTTTCAACTTATTTTCACTATACTGTTAAACCGTGCAATAATCATTTGGCACCATTATATCAAAGTCTGTGTGTCTGCTGCATGTTTTATGAACTAAGCAGGTGTATGAGTCAGAGTGTGTCCTGCCCCTGAAGATCTCTCATTCCTGACTGCCCTATGCAGCCCTAGAGTTGGGGCTCATTAAATTTATTAAATTATCTTTGCCTGACCCATATGATGGAGCAGGCTACCTAAGGTTCTTCTTACTTGGAAATTGAAAGGCAGATCCAGGCATCCTGCCTCACCTGTAATTGGGTTCATAAGCCTGAGGGGCAGGATGCTCAGCCCTGAGCTAGGTCTGTAGCTATCTAGCTATCTGCAAAAGCATTTCCCTTAATGGCGTCCCATTATGGCGCAAGCGGGTCAGTGGTGTTTGATGATGTTTCTGTGATTATTAGATCCCCTAAGGCTCCCCAATCTGTCCTCATGAGCCCCCTGACCAAACAACCAACATTCTCTCTTTTAACAATAACTTTGGACCGCTGTAAAACTCTAAGATTAACTGAGAGTGAAAGACAAGGAAGGGAAAAAGGCAAAGAGGGAGATGGACTAATGTTAAGAGATGATTTACCAGTTGTCTGAGTCCCAGACTTTTTTGTCTTTTATAACATATTAGAAAATCTCATCAATATGTTGCTTTATCAGTGAATTTCATAATACATACGTGTTCTTGACAGTAATTGTGATTGTCATTCTGTTCCCTGAAAAGGCAAGAGAGGTTGATTATTATTACTTAGGTAAAAATTAGTTAATGATTCATGTAACTTTCCTAATCATTGAATTTCTACTGATTGAATCAGATTATCTTCTCTGTGTCTGGGAGCTTTTTTCCCCTAGAAATTAACACATTATAGCTTTATTTATTTATTGTCCAATCTCTCTATTTTGCTTATTACTTAGCTACTGGCCCCTGGGTAGAGAGATACACTCTATTACTCAAAGAAGTACAGTAACTGCTGCACGAACAGTAGATCCATCTGATATTTCTACTTTTGATCCACCTTAGCCATCCTGCCTGGGGAAAAGGGTTGAAAAGATGGGATGGGCTGGTCCCTTCTTACTTTGTCTGATCAGAGTTTTCTGATAATTAACTTTCTATCCACCTCCTCAAAAACTCTTAGTCCTCCTCTCCCCCCAATACTCAGTAGAAAAGATGTATGGATAACTATTTGATAATGATGGATTAAACCATGGATTTCTGATCTTATTCTGTACCAAATTAGATGTAGCCCTATTTTTAGGTATCACTCACACACCATTTTATTCTGTGTTCTAACAAGAATTATTTTTCTTGAGGCAGTATCTCTACGGAAGTAGATTGCCCAATCTTCCTTCTTGAGGAGTGGCTGGTAGGTGTGAACTGCCAGCCTTCTGGTTAGCAGTCGAATGCCTTAGGCACTATGCCACCAGAGCTCCCATCATATATTATACAGAGCCAAAAATATATTTGATCACAAATAAGAGAACAATGCAATGTAAATTACAGATTAAGAAAAGTTAATAAAACAAGGCCTAAGGATGCAGTTCTGATTTATTTTCATATTTTTCTGTCACCATGGATCCTTTGGCTCTCTCCTTCCTGGTCTTCGTAAAGGAAAAATGGCATTCTATCTTCATTTATACTTGGTCTATACCTTCTGTTATTGAATTTACTTTCTCCCTGCTCAAGAACTGCAATTCAACTTTGAATTGCAACCTAACTCGTAGCTTAGTTCTGAGAGGTTGCAAAAGATGGGAGAGTCACTAAATACAAGTAGAACTCTAAGAATGGAGGATTCAATGGAACAATTTGCCCTCAAACACACTCCTATATAATGATTAAAATATTAATTTAAAATAACATTATTTTTCCTTAGATACTTACTTTGTTGATGGTTTATGAGCAGGGATGACTTCTGGAGCTGCAGGTAGATTTTCAGACAGAAAAAGACAATTATTATTGGTTGGTATCCTTCACAAGCTAGTTGTAAAATGGTAATTGACACCAACAAGCATTTACAATTAACACACATGTACAATTCAACACACTGATGTGTACCACAACCTCGATGTGGTAGAGATTTAGGGGCTACATTCTCTATTACCCAAGAAATAATACTTATAAAAATATGACCCAAGATATTAATTTCTTAGTAATTAAGAAATATATGTATGACTAACTCTTGGGTCAAAGAGAGAATTAAAAAGAGACAGCATGATCTATGAAAAGAACACCTTATATCAAAACCTATGAGAAATAACAAAAGCTGTTCCCATAGGTTTTGACATAAAGTGTTCTTCTTATTGCTTCTGCTATGAGTTCTAACCCAGTATATGTAACTGCCCATT